ATTATTATTATTATTATTATTATTATTATTATTATTATTATTATTATTATTATTATTATTATTATTATTATTATTATTAGTATTATTATTATTATTATTATCTTTGTTGTGGCATGAAGTTGTAGGTATTTTTTGCGTTTTGTGCGTCGCTACTGTTCAAAGACTACAATTCCCAGCATTCCTTGCAACCGTCCAACATGGCAGCGCGCTGTAGCTTTTGAGAACGAAGTGTTTTAATGTTTGCACGTTTTGCAGTTATGTTGGCTTTGTTTGTAGTCATTTCCCTTTTTAAGGGTTCTTTTTCTACCTTGGACTCTGAAGGTGGGTCAATTTAAGCATTTAATGTTAATCTATTATATTATTTTACGTTCCAGCCAAACATCTGTGTTGATTTCTGGTAAAAGGAGCATTAAGACATTTGTGTTATTGTGTAATTTTGGTGATAACAGAAGATTTCCACCCCGTAGTTGCTCAGGATGTCCACGGTGAGAACTACCTGCTGTGGATGTGGAGCAACAGACTTTACATTTATTCTGCTGCAGCTCTGCTTTTAGGCTTGTTCTTCTTTCTTGGACGCAGGAAGGTGAGTTTTGTCCTCTCCTTTAGTGGCAGCAGCCTAAACTTTAACACCACGCAGCCCTGTTTGACTTCCTGTTTTCTCTTCAGATAATCAATGCAAAGGATTCTGGTTCAAAGATCCAACAAGCTGCAAAAAACAACAACAGACCAGAGAAAGATGCTGATGTTTATGTTTCAGGGGTTAAAGTATTTTATGGCTCACAAACTGGAACAGCAAAGGTAAATATATATTTTGTTCTATGCATATTGAATGAAATAAAACATAAAACTGTTGTGCTCCAGCTTCTTTGGCCTTCTACATGTTGTATTTGTGTTTTTTCAGGGTTTTGCCACAGAGCTTTCAAAGGATGTGCAGACTTTGGGTTTCCCAGCTGAGGTGATTGACATGAAGGACTACGATCCAGATGATCGACTCGCAGACGAGGTACAACATCTTTCTGTTCATCCATCAGTCAATTTATCATCATTCAGTTCAGTTCAGTAGCTTTTATTTGTCCCAGTATGGGTCATTTTTGTGCACCTTTCACACACACACAATCACATTTCACAAATAAAAACACATGAAATATTGTAAAAAGATAAAAGTAAGGTGGATAAATAAATAAATAAATATGTGCAGTGCAGGGGATTAATGCAACATATGATTATCTGCTTTTCCTAGTAGAGTTTAGCAGCTGAACAGCAGAGGGAATAAAGGAGTGTTTGTATCAGTTGGTCCGAGCTGGTGGATATTTAAAACGGGAACCGGAGCGTTTCTATATAATGCATGATTGTTCAAGAACTTTCTGCCTTTTTGTGGTTTAAATCTATTTTGCGAGTTTCTAGAAAGGATGGGGAAGTTATTCTGGACTCTATTTAAATCCAGAGAAGTATAAACGCCTTGACATGATGGATATCTGGGAACTGTGTGTGGGAAACAAACGACATAAAATGAAATTATTTTATTAAGTCACAACCATTGATGCCGTTTTACATTTTTATTTGACAAACAGACCATTATTTTTTTTAAATATCATTTTTTCCTCTTTTTTTTTCTCTTAGTTGAAAAAAAAAAGAAAAATAGGGGGGAAAAAAGGAGATTTATTTGCTTTATTATTTATATCAACAAATCCATTTCAAATAATATCCTATAAAAGAAAAGCCATGTTTTTTTTTTATATTTTAAAAGCTAGAAATGCAAATAAGCTGCTGGTTGTTTAAGATGGCAATACATTTTCCTATAGCAGATATTGAACAAAAATAATAGATTGTGTTTTATTTTAAAAAAATCCTGCAATATTTTGCTGCTCTAGTTGGACTGAATGTAAAATGGCTTTTTGGATATGAAAGGTTGCAGACTGCTGCTGTAGTTCAATTATCAGACTGGAAACGACTCAAACTGGTTTATATGAGATGGAAGGAGAGTGGGGAACATGAATCTGCTCTCCTAGTCACTGGAGATGGTGTATAAATATTTGTGGTCTATTTGGGCTAAGAGCAATACACGTATGAACGCAGACATGTGTTTGCACATGTGAATGTTTCTATGTATATCAATAATTATATTTGCTCACTTAATGGACTTTTTTGGAGTAGTATGCACCCATGATAATTGATCAATGATAAGGACAATACTTGGAGAATGGGCATCATTTGAATAAGTTTCACTTCTTCTAAGCCACTTTTCCCACATACTAATCAAATTTATATCTTTTATTAATTATCCATAATGTTTGAATTTGTTAAATTAGTCCTTTTACTAGATTATCTTAAATATTATTCAATTATTTATCGCTAATCTGAAAAGGTTCAGGTAATCTAAGCAGATATTCATCAGTCATGTTCAGCTGAATAGATTCTAAGTAGTTTTTATTTTCTGGGCAGAGTTTATTTTTACAGCAATAAAACATAAATATGAAATGAGTTAGCTGCGGCGCTGCAGGAGCAGGGAAACCATTATAATCAACAGAGAGAAATCAGTTATGATAAACCCAGGCAGCAGAGGCTCCTTATCATGTTTACTCACTTTCAGTCGATGGAGAAGAAATAGCTTTTCCTTCTAAGGTGTAATAATAATAATAATACTAATTGAACTTTATTAATCTCACACTGGAGAAATTCACCTATGCATTTAACCCATCCCCTTGAGAGCAGGAGTAGGAGTGATGCTTGAACTCAGAACGCCATGCCACTCCCTCAACACTCCCTTTTGCAGCATGAATATGAGGCTTTTCCTCCAGTGCTAATCTAGTTTGACCTTCTGCAGCTAATGCGGTGATCTGTTTCCTACCGTGATGTATTGTAGCTCCTTAGTTTTATGTTGCCATCTGAATGTGACGATGTTGTTTTGTTTGTGGATTTGTCCTCCTTCAGTGTAGCAGTCAGTCAGTCTGCGTGTTTCTTGTGGCCACCTACACTGACGGACAGCCCACAGAGAACTCCGAGTGGTTCTGTAAGTGGCTGGAAGAGGCTTCCACCGACTTCCGGTACGGGAACACCTTCCTCAAAGGCCTCCGATACGCAGTGTTCGGCCTCGGCAACTCGGTCTATGTCGGTCACTACAACACGGTCAGAACCGGGAATTACAGTAAGGTCCTTTGTAATAAAACAGAAAACAGTTAAACACCTTCATCTGTTCTGCAGGTGGGTAAAAATGTAGACAAGTGGCTGTGGATGCTCAGTGCCAAAAGAATCATGAGCAGAGGAGAGGGAGACTGCAACGTGGTGAAGAGTCGAAACGGTAGCGTTCAGGCAGACTTCCAGGCCTGGAAGGCAAAATTCCTGAGCCGCCTGAAGGCGCTGGCCAAAGGTGAGAAGAGGAGCTGCAAGGATGAAGGTTGCTGCAAGAATAGAAAGAAACATGGAGAAGAAAAGGAGGAGAAAGCTGTGATGCAGGAGAACAGCTCCGAGGTAACAGAAAACATATTTCTGTTTTATGAGAAACTGTGAAGATAATGCATTGTTTACATTGCTAAAACTAAAATGAGGGTTTGGTAGAAAAATGCACTAGTAATTAATTGTTTATATAATTGTTTATAGATGTTCATTGTGTATGTACTGCTGCTTCACAGGAAGAAGGTCCTGGGCTCAATATAGTTTAACTTTTCCAAATTCTTCTTTTTTTTTAAGTCGTAGGGTCTAATCATTCTGTGTCTAATCATTCTGGCTAAAACATGTTTATAAATGTACCCTTTATCAGAGTATATTTTTCCAAAATGTAGAAATTTTCTATTTAAAGAAAAAATTCTGTCTTAAAATCTGTGTTTATTTTCGTTATCTTATGCAGGCCAGTTATTTATACGTCAGCTTGTTCACCTAAATTCGGCCAATCATATATCAACGGTCATCTGTCAATTACATTTTTCGGACATAGCATCTTGATTCATATGTAGCAGCTAATAAACGCAACGGTTGAAATAAGAAACATTTACTTTACTATTGAGTTCCGTCCCAGTGTTCACGGGGATGCACGTCTGTGTCTTCAGCAGGCGTAGAGCTAACAGAACTGGCAGCGTTGCGAGGCAAGGGCTCAAACATGTACGGCTGTAAGCCTTCTACACCAAACCAAGCTTCTGCTGCCCTGGCGTCCTCTTCCACAACAACTTTGTCCCCACTTTCCTCCTCTAAATAAAAAATGTATGATGGAGGAGACTCATCCATGACCTCGGACACAAAACTCTCCTCCTCTTGCATGTTTCCTCTGTCCATAGCGTTCCTTGACAGTGTCGTTTCTAAGTCACTAATTTAGTGCTACTTGGTCCCAATGGAATTTCCCATTGGGAACCTACTAGCACTAAGTTGTTAACTGGTTAGCAAGATGCTTCCAAGACACCGGCCACAACCAAACTTGCTTGCGAACCTTCTGCCATCCTGCCCCCTTACAAAAACGACCAATCACATTCACTTTATTCGCTCGTGTAAATTTCTGCACCACACAGGAGAATTTGGAAATGCAACGGGTGGAACAGCCGCTTCACTACGAGTTTAAACGGTCTGTCCGATTTGCACATTACCTTTTACATATGTCATACCTTCAGCTGTTATTTAACAAAGTGTCCCCAAACGCTTTCTTTACTGTCACCAGCACACTATAGTGAATTTTAAACCTCTTTGGGGCTTGAAAATATTAATTTTCCACTGTTAGTGTGGAGCATTGTACGCCATGATGAGCCAAACATAACAGACTGATGAGCATCCTCTGCTGCAGAATGCAGACTTTAGCGTCACACAAAAAACTCACACTTTTGCTGCGATGTTAAAAAAGATATAAACTCATAAGACTTGCATTAATGTACAGCAAATGATTATGGTCTAATTTGATGATTATGTCGGCTCGTTGCTGAAGGCCCTAAATATTTTCTTCATTAACAAGAGCATCAGCATTAGTCTCATTATTCCCTCCAACAAGATGACTAAAATCTGATAGAAACTCAGAAAGTCTGTTAATTTCTCTTTTATATGGTTTAAGAATAATTATAAAGTCTAAAAAGTTTAAACCTGATCTTGTCAATAAGCTCTATGATGGCCGACAGATGCAAATGCACACCAAATGACGAAGCGAGCGCAAAAAAAAAAAAAAAAAGAATTCAAAACCCAAAAAAAGCAAAAAAAAAAAACCCAGAAAAAAACAAACAAATGCAATAAAAAATCCTGCAAACAGAAAAGTCCTATTCCAAACATTTTTAATTAAAAAAGCTTCTGGGATGGGATGCGAAATGTCTTCAAACAGGGAAAACAAAGTTCAGTTGATTGTTGTTATTGTTAAGTTATTTAACTTTTTTGGAATGCAAACAGAAACCTGCTGCATTTAGTAAAATTGGAAGCAAAAATTGGAATCAACAAAATAAGTGCAAACAATAAATGCTGCAAGGAAAACAAAATGCTGCAAAAAGAACATAATGCAAATAGCAAAAACAGCAGCAAATGTAAACAACATAACAGAAATGCATCAAACTAGTAGATGAAAGACTTGAAGCATTTCAGGTTTTTTTTTAAATCATTCACTGACTTTACACAATTTAGATTTTCACATTGTTTTGTAATTGCAAGCACTTGTCATTCACACGAAGACACACAGAGGATCAGTTGTCATGGTAGCGGGCTTCACAGAGGGTGCAGCTCTTACAGAAATGTGACATTCATTCAGAATCCACAGGATCCTAAGTGAAGAAACTTTTAAAAAGCTCCACACTCTGTTTGGTTGAAGACACAATAAGATAATATTCTGGGGTTTTTTTTCGTTTTTTTTTTAATTCCTTTTCTTTTTAGATGGATCTGATTGAATCCAGCAGTGAGGAGGAAGAGTCTGTCCTGCCAGATGAGAAAGCATCACGATCCGTGGTAGACGTGGAGGATCTGGGCAACATTATGAATAACGTCAAGAAAGCAAAGGTTAGGCTTCATCTTCTGTTAAAACAACACCTCATTTATGCTGCACGTACCTTCACCATTGATCTTTGCATCAATGAAGATATCAGACTGTCTGATGACCAAGATGATAACTCAATTTATGGTATTTCTTTGTTAATGTATACAACATCAGATCCATTAAAGACTGTATCCCAATTGTAAGAAAATTAACAGATCGGCAAACAGGACTTGAACAGTGTTTATGAGTAAAGACAACCAACAAGGCCGAAACAGTTGAGCTGAAGCTACAAAGTGCAGATGAAATGACTCCTAAGCCAACAGTGGGTAAAATCCTTTCAGATCTGCATTATGGCACAAAATACACAGATTTTTAATTTTCAACCAATAGCATCTCCCATTGAGTGTCTTTTCTATTTTTATTAGTTTTCTGTTAGTTTTTCAGTTGGACATTACAGTTAGCAGTTCAGAGCGTAGACTGATCAAGTCTTGCCCCAAATTTGTTCTACATTTATGTAAACAGAGTATAGGTTTGTACAAATGCATTTGTTTTAGTAGTAGTGAGGATTTTCTTCTCGTTCACCCAACTCATATCTTCACCATTCCCCTTCAGTTTTAACATCTGCCTGATTATAGTTTCTCTCAGAAAAAAATGTTCATTCTTCACATGAGTTAAAGTAGTTGTATAAATACCCAGGCTGCAACTACACTTAGTCCTATAAAAAAAAAAGAAAAAAAGTCAAACTTGACACACTCATGGTTGGTATATGCTGCATTATTTACGTCCTAATAAATGGCAGCCTTTCTGAAATAAAAAAAAATATATAAAAATGACAGAAAATGGCAAACTAATCAGTGTTAAGTGCCTGAGCCTGCTACTGTGGAATGTCAGTGGATTTTGGGTTGGGATGGTTGTGATGCCAGGTGGGGGTCAGGTGGGGGGGCATGAACTGCACCCATGCACAGACCTCCCCCCTTCATCAAAACCAATTCTGGACAGTATAGCGACTCTGCTGGGAGAGGTAGCTAGTAAGAAGTTAGTTAGTGTCATCTAATTCAAGCCAAACCCATTGGGGAAGCCGAATAATTTGGCAAGAAGGCTAGTATAAAGGTGGTAGAAGATAACAGATATAAGCCGCGACTTTCTCCCCATTTTTCGACCTTGCGGCTTGTATAACAATGCGGCTTATCTATGGACTTTTACAGCTTACGGCCACTAGGGTAATACCTAAATCTATGGATTTTACCATCCACCATGTTGACGTCACATTTGCTTCAACACACAAGCATAGTAGCCGCGCGCGGGGGAATGCGGAGGTCCTCCGGAAGCAGACTTCTACCGCGAGTGGTATGAGACAGAACGACAGCGAGAAAGACAGACATTAAACATAAAAAACCTGTGGCTTATAGTCCGGTGCGGCTTGTATATGTACAAATCATGCAATTTAGCTTCTGTGGCTTATATTTAGGTGCGGCTAATAGTCCGAAAATTACGGTAGTCTCTGCCTCTTTACATGGAGGGAATAAAGGAAGACATGACGAACTCTGTTAGAGCTCAAATGCTCCAAAGGGATAGACTATTCAAGGAGGGAGTGTGTATGATGTGTGAGGATTTAGTAGAAGATACCAAAACACACAAAAGGGAAAAATCTACAATTTGATGTTATAATTTCCTTGTCTAAGTGTTCTGCCAAAATCCTGTTTTTTTTTTTGCTTGTCTCTGTTAAGTAGAGATTTTTCATGACATCCTGTTTAGCAACATGCTCATCTTTGCTATGGATCAACAGAAGAGTGCTTGTAAGGAGATGTAAGAATATGCAGAGCAATGTGTGGAGGTAAAGGGTTCAAGGGTAAAATAGGAGGGCGGAAGAAGGCAGAAAAATTAACTATAAACTAGGACTGGGAGTAGTGTGAAATGCAATAGGATGGCAAGGGTGAACTGCTAGGTAGCTGGTTACAGGTTGCTTTAGTAGGAGATCTTCCTAGGGTGCTTATGCACCTCAGAGGTGTAGATCTCTACCTGAAAAGAAGCTTTATTGCCCACATTCAGGCTATTTTCAGCATTTCCATGTTAAGATCTGGAAGCCGCTCTACATTATAGAGCCTTTATCCATTCTAACCTTTTCAAGTGAATAGGAAAAAAAAACATGTCACTGAAGGAGAAAGGCAGATGGGTTGATAGACACCAGACCACGGTGGAGGAGAAGTGGAGGCTTGCGTAATATCTAGGACGCCCACTCCACAGATATGTGAGGAATGGGTGAGTCAAGAAAAGCAGGAAGAATATTTGAGGAAAGAGACGTTATCAGCCCCTTTTTAAAGGTTTTCATTGTGTGAAGTGGTCATACTGAGCGAAAAGGAAAGAAATAATTTTATTATTTCAAAAATAATAAAACATGGGGGAAAAAATCTGCATTTTTCTCATTTATCTTAACTCAAAGATTCATGTAATCTAATTGATTTATTGTTTTGGGGTTATGTTGTGTTATCTACCAAAGGAAAAAAACTATACACCAAAACGAATAAAAGCATAACAATCTTGTTACTGCAGAGTTATTAAGATGCCGTTTTAGGCACATTATTGCCATCTGAAGTACAGCATGGCAAGAAAAAAATAACATGTCTTTGAATAAAAATAGTATAAATAAGAAATTTAGTGTTTTTGTTAAATTAGGTCTCAACTTTGTGCAAATTAAATGCAGAACAGAACCAATATACTCCTTACGACAACAGCAATAATAGCTTCTGAAGAGACATTTAACACTTCGTAATATAGACTTCTCCAAGATAGTATTAGAATGGTAGCCTGACGTAGTCCTATTCAATTCTAGTCAGAATATGAGTCTGATACTGCTCCATAGAGCTGTGATTATGGGGCGTGTTTCGAACGAACCAGGAAAAAAATGCCTCTGCACTCAATTGGATAGACCTACAACCAATAAGAGCAACGGAGTGCGTGACGTATGTTAAGCGACGCATAGTTGTTGTCAACAAAAATCAAAGGGTGCAGTTGCACGCCTAGAATAAGAAGATGAGCATGAACGATTTTTGCCGGTGTTGCAAAAAAAATAATTTGCTGTCGATATCTTCTAGAACAGACCTAATAGCAGAATCTACACACCTCAACTCTCCAGCGGCAGCCATTGTTGTTGTCACCCAAGCGCGCTTTGGTGACGTGGTTGATTATGTTACTGTTGATCATCTGTCCATCATCGTATAAAGCCCGCCCTGACAATTTGATTGTCCCGCCAGATATTGGGCGAGTATACTCGCGCTACTATTGAGCAATGCCAGACCGAACTTCCCTACCTCAAACGTTGTGGGCAGGACTAAGTTCGGAATGGCACCCAGGCTAATAGAACAGTATGTCAGCCGGACAATATTTTGGGCCGATAGTAGTGACATTTTCTTGTCTCTGCGTTGGCCGATACCAGCACAGATTGTCTGATACCTAAACGCGTCGGCCGACACCCGCACGCGTTGTCCGACACCCGCACGCGTCGGCCGACACCCGCACGCGTTGTCCGACACCCGCACGCGTTGGCCGACACCCGCACGCGTCGGCCGACACCCATATGTCTGTTCTTAGCCTCACATGCTCCAAACGAACGTCATGAGAGATGAGAATGAGTTACACAGCTTCCTTCATGGCATGAATGGGAGGACTTTTGTTTACAGAAGTTCCATCTGGCCAGTGAAGATATTTTAACCTAACAGGGAATGGCCTTGATGAACTCAAGTTGTTTTTCCTCCAACTGTTCAAGTGTGAGAAAGTTCTTTATGCAGGGGTGGGTTGGTTCCTCTGGGGGGAGTTGGTGTGTGTTTGGACTTTTTAAGGTATAAATGTATGTACTGAAGTTGCCTCAGTCAGACCTCTATCTCTCCGTCTGAGGACCTTTTTCCTTGCAAGAAATGCCTCTTTCAGCTTCCAAACACTAGAGTTATTTATCACAATAGCTAAAAAAACCTGGCTGATAGTAGTGATCACATGTGTTTGAGGTATTCTTTGTCTGTTTACTTCAATGCACCAAAACTGCTTGGAAGGTATTAGGCAGAAGTTATATAATAAAGCTTTTAGTTTAAACATCTCATACTGACCTTTGGTATTATTGACCTTTATTTCTTGATTTCCTCCTCTAACATATTTTTCCCTACATTCTGTTTTTCCTTGACCTTTTCTTTGGACAGGTTTTGATTCTAAAGCTAAATGTTATTTTTTATAAATAAATGTTTCACAGAAAAAAAAGCCCTTCTCACCTTCACAACTAACCTTTCATAGCCTGGTTGAAATTCTCCTCCATATGTGAGGCGTATCCTAGCTTTGTTAGAAAACATTAAGCATGAGTCTGTTTTTTTATTTACCTCATCTAAACTGTTCTGACCCTGAAAGTAAGATGATACAATGTGAGATCATGAGACCCAAACTTCATTTAAGTGTTAAATAATAATACACTTTTGTCATACTGTAGGTAGTTTTAATTGCGGTAGATTAAATGGGCTCATATATATTCTTTCATTATATCCAAACTGGTGGTTTTTGCTCTTTATTGGGATTTCTATGTGGCATGTTGGGAGTTGATATATCTTTTTAAACTAGTTTTAATATAAACTCTGCTCCCAGACCCAGATAATATATGTTATTAGGCCTAATTTCTGTCTCCCCCCTTAAGATGCCAGAGTGCTGATTTTTCAAGTCTTTGATCACAAGTCCTTGTTAATTTTGTATAATTTGGTCACGCTGAGTTTTCAATGTAGGATGTAATTAGTTTGAGCATTAAACATTTGCTAGAGACAGCGCATAATTAGGCAAACTGTGTGACCGAGAAAATTCTGCCTGAATAAAACGTTATGGTTAATTTAAAGCCAAGAGGCGGCTTATGTGCAGAAGTTCAGATGTTTTGGGGGAAAAAATGAATCTACCAGATGTTTGGGAGACGCATTAGATTTGATTTGCCGTCATTTTTAAAGCTGGATAAAATAGACTTTAGGTATGGGATCTGGGGATAAAATTACTTTGGCTTTTT